TTAATCAAAAGCATTTGAGAATAAAAAAAATTTTGAAAGTTATTTATTAAAAACTTTTATTATTCAAAAAAACTTTCCGCCATTCTTTTCGCTGGGGACTGTAAATATAATCAAAATTTACAAAAAATGTCAGTTTAATCCTTTAAAAATTATTTGAAATATACAGTAGTTAAGAAAATATACTAATAATAAGTTTAATGAAGTAATTAATGATAAAATATAAAAAAATAAAAATGATATCAATAAAACATGTTTAAAAGAATCATTTTTTAAAATTATAAAATTTATTCATAAGATTTTCTATTATATGGTTACAGTAATTGTATTAATTACACTTATAAATAGAAATGCAAAAATTATAATAAAAATTCGTTCGTTTTCTTAAAATATAAATTACATCTGGTGCGATCCAATATCATGTGATAAACGAATTTTACTGCGGCAATTTGGGTAAACAAAAAAAAACACAGTTTGACTTTGACGTGTGTCACAGTTGGTGGCGTTTGTAAGCTTGGATGAAAAAAAAAAATAGACCAATTTTTTTTAAATACAGTTGGTCTGATTGTTAGATTATCTTGTGATTATGATTATGTTTTTTTACTTTTATACTAATTATTTTATCCATTTTTAGATAAATTAGCATTATAATTAACAATATATATATATTTAGACAAAAAAAAAAGAAAATTTTTATTTTCCCTTTAAAAAAAAATGATTAAAATCGAAGATAGTCGATTACGAAAAATTGTAAAAACTAATATAAAATTTTCTAATTGGGCACGTACATTTGAATGTATACCTGAATTGTATTTTGAACCAGAAAATGATGATGACATTATTAAGGTAATTACAAATCTCAGAAATTAAAGTTAAAAAGGGAACCATTAATGGAATACAAATAAACAAATCAATAGATAATCAAATTGGCTAAGCAGTATAATAAAAATGTAAGAGCGATTGGAGTAGGTCATTCACCATCTGATGTCGCGTGTACTGAAGGAATCATGATTAACATGGAAAAACTTAATAATATCATCGAGGTAACCAAATTAAAAAACGTCACGTGATGTTATCGAGCATTGCAACTCACCGATTTTTTCAAATTATAAAAGATCGATGTAGAAAAGAAAACCGTAGTGGTTGAAGCTGGTGCTAGAATTGATATATTAAATGAATGTTTATGGAAACATGGGTTAGCACTAAGGAATTTAGGTTCAATTTCTAATTTAAGTATTTCTGGCGCCATATCAACTTCTACTCATGGTACAGGAATAAATTTTGGTAATCTATCTTCTCAGGTAAAAATCTTTATATATTTACGCGTTTCATTGTAATAATTTTTAATAAATTCACGCGTTATTTTTTTATAAAAAAAATAAATAGATTATCGGATTAACTTTATTGACAGCTTCAAAGGGAATAATAAATTGCTCAGCAAATGAAAATGAAGACGTATTTAAAGCATCGTTATGTAGTATGGGTGCATTAGGAATCATATTAAAAGTTCAAATACAATGTGAATCAGCATTTAAATTAGAATCCAACCAATATCCAATGAAATTAAATGATATATTGAATGACCTGGATTCGATTATTTATTCTGCGGAACACGTTAGATTTTGGTGGTTTCCTCATACGGAGAATTGTGTTATTTGGAAAGCCGATCGAACAACTGGGGTAAGAACTATTATTGTTTGTTTTGACGCGTTTCATCCCGTTCTAAATTATTTTGTTTAATGATTAGGATTTGAAAATTCAACAACCCAGTTATTTCAAAGATCACATAGTTTCATATCACCTTTATCAATTTTTGTTATACATTACTCGATATTTTCCATCAACGGTTCCATTATTAACAACTCTAATGTTTAATTACAAATTCTCTCAACCAAAACAAGTCATAAATGCTTCTTATAAACAATTTAACTTTGATTGTTTATTTCCACATTATACCAACGAATGGGCTATACCTCTGGAAAAAACCAAGGAAGCTTTAGAAAAATTGTATAAATGGATAAATGATAATGATGTTTTTGTTCATTTTCCTGTTGAAGTACGATTTGTAGATAAAGATGACATTTGGTTAAGTCCTGCTTACAACAGAAAAGTTTGTTATATTGGCATTGTTATGTATAGGTGAGCAAACTGACCTTTTCTTAAAAAAAAAAAAAATAAATAAAATAAAAAAAAAAAATCTTACAAGGTAACATCTCTTTAGACCATATAAAAAGCCCGTCCCTTATAAAAGGTATTGGGCTGCATTTGAAGAGATAATGAGATCTTGTGACGGGAGGGCACATTGGGCAAAGGTATTTATTTAAAAAGGAGGATCATTTAAAATTACATATAGTGGTTTAAAATTTTTTTTTTTTTTAGGCACATACAATGACAGCAGCAGAACTCGAAAAATCATACCCAAAATATAAAGGATTCATAGAATTACAAAAATCTTTAGATCCAAATGGAATGTTTCTAAATCTTTATTTAAAAAGACATTTATTTGGAATCGGTGATAAAGATTATTTTAAAGCTAAATTATAATTACAAAAAAAAAATAATAAATAAATAAAAAGAAAAACCGTTAATTTAGAGGAAATTCTTTTAAGCATTATCTTCTTCAACTGATAAACTATAACAAATGCAGTAAGGATAAAAGTGATAAATAATAAATGGTTAAATAAAAAAAAAAAAGGTGAATTTTATAATGTAAAAAAAAAAAACAAGAAAAAAGTAAAGGAAAAAAGATTAATTTCTTCAAATTTACAGATAAAATAAAGTGTTTTAAATCAGGATAACTTGAAGATCTTAAAGGATTAATAGTAGGTTGTAGATGGGTACGTTGAGGTTGACGTTGATGTTATTTTTGTTAATGCGATTAAAAGAGCACAAAAATGAAGTGTTTATCATTGGACGTTGGTGTGAAGTTGCACTTGTAGGTTTAGTATCCTTCGTTCTTCTTGAGTAGTGATTATTTGAAGATGGATGAAAGATTATCCCATCTTCATGTGTTGAAGTTGATTTATTCACCTTTATTGGAGGAAGGTCCGTTAGTCTCGTATAACCACATGTAGGACTTTCTACAGGTAGTTAGATCTCTCAGGATGCATGTAACAGTCTTTTACAACAACATGCTTCCAGCAGAGCACTTGAGATTGATGGTGGAATAATGGGTTTTTGAAGCTGATAGGGGTTTTTTTGAATAATTTGTGCCATTATAGGTTTGTAAAATTTGCATATGGACATGATAACTAAGCACTAATTGACGACAATGCCCTGAATAAATTATAAAGGATAAATTCGTATATGCAAATTTGCTTTCAGACTTCTAACAATACCTACATATCTCAAATGTGTCATCCCATTTTAATCCATTATTCTTTAATTTATCAACTGTTATCTGTTGATATTGGCGGAACCTCCGCGAATCATTGATGTTATCAACTCTCCACTAAATAACAGAAAAAAACAATAGTAAGAATACAGCGGAAAACAAGAATTGAAAATTAGACGTCATATATGTACCTCAACCATGGGTTGCATATCCAGTTGCTTTATGATGATATTGATATCGAATTCAACAATTCATTCTCATCTTCAATCTCATCTTCAATCTCAAGTTCGTCGACGAAAGAGTTTTTGATTCCACTTTCCGTTTCAACTTGTATTTCTGAAATTGATGATGATGGCTCTGATGGTGTCGTTGCTCCACCTGTTACTACACGTGGTGATGATGATGGCATGTTCTTCGTAGTTTTGGCCTGTTCAAGCAAAAATAATAGAAATTTTTGAGAGGAATACCGTAACAAATCCTCATCATCATAAGGAAGCATTCTATACGGACCTTCTTAGAACCAGCCAATTCTTTATTCTATAAATATCAAAGTAGTCACCAAAAAAAATACTCGCATAAATTTCAAGGCAATATTTTATATCAAAAATTTTATTGTCATATTCTAACCTTTGATTATGATAAAATTTTCCGCTTTGGTTGACGGACAGCATGAAATCATCATCGGACTAAATACAAAAAGAAGGAGTTAAGTTGCTTCTATTTTTAATTAAATACAATGAATTATCACAATGTTGATGGATTTACTATACCTCTTCTTGACGTTCATTGCTTTCCGTGACCTTTAGGCGTTCTCTCGAACAAGATGTACTTATCTATCATTACGAAGAGTTGAACGTATGTTTCTTCCCTTTGACATGGTTCCAGCAACGATAGTCCTGCCGTTGACAGTCCCGTTGTTTATAGTATTTTCCGTAAATGACGGATAATTGACATGCATCTGTTTATACGAACGGTCTTTTTCCCATTTTCCTGCAGGTTGAGTACCCTAACATAAAGTTTTGTCAATAAAATCATTATATTTTGATTAAATGATATTAAAAACCCATCCGCCGAAATCGGCCAGAAGCCTTTGAACGACAGAACAACCCAGAAGGTCGCTCTGCGCTTCGACGGGGCCAGTGTCAGATCGGTCAGAAGCCCAGACAACCCAGAAGGTCACCTGCGCTCTAACACTGCCTGAACGATAGACAACCCAGAAGGCCACCTACTCTCAAACATTATCCCAGAAATTTTACAACGAAAAATTCTTACTGACTTAAATGCTTCCTTACGCTTGCAGTCCTTCTCGTTATCGGCGATCGTACCGAGGCTTGAGATATAACAATCAATCTTCCGCTCAAACGGCTCAGTGTCACACTCATTTAGGGATGCTCTGCGTTCAAAATATTTTTTCGCGCCAATTTTTTTGTTAACACGTGTCGGGACAACCAAATTCAACAACCCTAGCGTCGCCACCAAAAAATGGTAGCCGGACAATTTTTACCGGGTAACACGTGATTTTGGAATTGATTTATTGGGTAAGATCAGCATAGCGGGCTTTCCTATTTTATCACATAAATGTCGATCATTTTGCCGATCATTTGCCGATCATTTTTTAATTAT